ACCAGCACTGCACTGACTCACTCGAAGTGATGGCCTGAAACTAAGAACATCTTGCAACCTTGAAAACGAACGTCAAAGAAGAAATCAAATGCTCAGATCTGGGAGAAACACGTTCTACATAAGCATCACAGCTATAATCGAGCTGCATCAAGATATGATAGCCTAGCGCAGCTCCGCAGTCAACGTATCGATCGAGGGGGGCGCGCCAGCGATGAATCGCTCCGCTACCAAAACGGGCAGTGTAGATTCGCGCCCATGGCGCGATTAGAGCGATTGGTCGTGATGGGAGTAATGTGAATAGCGCGACCTTCGCGCGATGATCGCGCCGATTCACATTTGACCGAATCGCTCCAATCGCAGAGTCTGACATCGGCCATTGGCAGTGGATCGCTTTTTTGCAGACTCATGGGATTTGTCCTCACATTTTGAACTTGTTATTGCTGATTGCAAATGTATAGATGACGAGATTTGGCCGTTCTTTTTGGTTGCGTTCGTGTTGATGTTGCTTGGGTTGGCTCGGTCTTTTTTGATTGAGGTGTTGTGCGCGCTTATCTCTGCGGGTATAGTTGTGACAGCGATCGGGTGAGAAATTTGCCAATCGCTGATAATTCATTCAGACTTGTGGATTAGTTTCTTAGTCGCTAGAAAATCTTGAGATCGGGATGATCTCATGCTTCGGAGAAATAGATCCGAATAGAACGCTTTTCCCAGTCGGTTGCAAACACAAACGTATGCTCGCCGTAGAGTTGCCGCAAGTTGTCACGCCATAACAAAATTTGGGTTTTACGTTGGAATCATGCGGTATTCCAGATTTACTTCCCGAGCATGCTAACCATGAGATGCTTTCGCGGATTGCTTTAATACCATTATGAACATACCCTCTCCTTCAAAGAACGAGAAGAGCGTGGCGTGCAGACCATACACTACAAGTGACGATGGCTTCCAAGTAAATTTGGCTAGTAGTGGTTAATAGTGATAGCTAGTTTTCGGTAAATGATAGTTGTAATTAGTGGCAACTGATAGAATACAGCTGCAACAGGCTAACAATTTCCTTGACAAAAATCATTTACTCAAACAAATCATCATATTTCGTGAAGGCCGTCGTCACTCACGGTGTATGATCTGTACCCGATGCTTTCTCCTTTTTTGAAAGAGGAGTATGTTGACGATGCCACAAGTCATTTATATATCTTTTACTTCTCCGAAAGAATGCATACATATATAAGTTACCAACCGCTGTTGAAGGCGCATACCCTCCCCTACTCACACAAGCCCCGAGAAACGCTAGTTGGCGGTGCAGACCGTGTGTCGACGATAGTCGACCAAAAGTAATGCCTTTCTTTATTGTAAAGTTTGGTTACTGTAGTGCTTAGATTAAGAGATATGGCAGATTGTTTTCTTCTAGAAAGCTGCGAAGATGAACAAGATTCCAGCGCGATGGATAAAAGGCACTCGCCCACGGAATCGGGGCTCTTGGGCTCTTTTGCTCTTGGAACGTTCCCGCGTAGTGGACTGCTCCCGAGTTCGTCTGACGGTGGATTGGTTTATCATCGACTGGACAATCGTCAACTATTCCTGCGTGAGTCTTCGCTGTATTCATTAATAAAGCATCGTAGCAGTGTCTAAGGTGGACTAGTATTCTCACGAGAGTGACTTTCAAACCCGACCGCCAGTGTCACGCCCAATCAGCCTCGAGTATTCTGCTAGGACGCCCGCCGACGCTATGTGCATCAGGACAACTACGAACCCAGGCTGTGTCAGTGAGTTTTTGAGAAACGAGTTTCAACTCACACCCTTTTGGAATCACGATTCGATTCTACTAACCATCTTCAACCGCGTGGCTTTCATTTCTTGCCGCAAATCAGTGTCGCAAATTTTGGATACTGTACGTAGGGCAATAAGTCTCGTAGGTCATATAAAGGTTACACTCCCACGCAATGGCGGTTCAGTTAATTTCTTATAAACGCCAACTAACACAGACTACTAACAAACTAGATACAGTCGTGCAGCGTTTTAAAGAGGAAGAGTTAGAGTCCCTTCGCGTTACGGAAGACCTATCCCCAATCGATTATCAAGATGCTCACAGACGCCTAGAAGAAGGCATAGGGGCAATTCGAGTTTGCACCTCACGCATCGAGAGTCTTCTTGGGGATTACGCCACAACCTTAGATGCGCTGCAGGAGCCATCCAAAAAGGAATACGACGATTATGACGAGTATGCCAAAAAGGCAGAAGAGGGTCTGGCCAAGGCTATCGATTATTTGGTTCTCTTAGAGGCTAGGTTCTCGGGCTTTCGTTTCATGTACTAACATTCGCCCCCAGCGAAGCACAGGGAACGCGTTACACGAAAACGAGTCGAGTATGCCGCCAAGGGCTAGAAGAATGGAGCTCCCAACATTGCCGGTACCCACCTTTAAGGGCAATATTTGGGAGTGGGAGAATTTCTGGTCCTTATTTGAGGCCAATATCCATTCTCAACCCCTACCCGAACTCTATAAATTCAACTACCTTCTGAATGCACTAAAGGGGGACGCCCTAGCGGCTATCAAAAAGTTCCACGTGTCCCTGAAAACTATTCTAAGGCTATCGAGTTCTTAACATCCAAATACGGGAACTCGGAAGAGTTGGTAAATAAGCTCATAGACAGGATTGATAGGATGCAGTTACGATCCTCGTCTTTGAAAGAGATCAACGCGCTTTCTTTGAAGAGCTTCAAGTCGTAGTTTCGCAATTAAAGCAGAAGGGTGAAAACGTTAATAGTCAATGGCTTCTTAAGCAGGTGCTCTCCAAATTCCCTCTGGTAGTTCAGCGTAAAGTCTTGGAGAAAAAACACGCGTTACCTACCGACAATCGTTTCGAAATGAACACCTTAATGAACTTCTTGGAAGAGGTTATTTCGAGTGAAGAAACGGTTTTACTTTTCACGGGAGGAAATCTCGAGTTCCAAAAGCAGACTCAGCGTACAGAAAGGAAAGGAAATCGCCCTTTCAACGCGTGCATGTACTGCCAGGGAAACCACAGGCCTGCTGCATGTGATACTTATAAGACCCCACAGGAACGCTCTCGTTACTTACGGGAACATAAACTGTGTTTAATCTGCGCATCTCCGAAGCACGCAACATCCGAGTGTAAGAAAAGATTGTGCTTTGTATGCCAAGGGACTCACCACACATCCTGCTGTTTTAAGAACGTTCCAGAATCGCGCTTCCCTTCGCAAAATATGAGTCACCCAACAACGCGCCGCAACCAGCCACTATCCCAGGGAAGCAGTACAGCAAAAAAGGCACAACAGGCCCCTAAACCCACCCGAAACGTTAACCAAGTCTGTACACGAGATGATGTGGAGCAGATTGCGATGATTCGTGAACAACAGAGGCCACATGAGAGCGGCCAATCGTTGGAACCAATTATGAATACGACGATTTGTGAACTCCAGTCGGCACAAAGGGATCGAAAACTCGAGTGTACATTCTTACCAACAGGGGAGTTGACCGTGTTCGACCCGACATCTGGAGGTCTCAGAAAGGTGGCTGTTCTGTTAGACACAGGGGCAGAATTGTCATTTATTGACAGTTCACTGGCTGATGAGCTGGGATTAGCCACAGTAGAGAATACCAAACTGAGACTCCATACCTTCGGCTCAAATAACATCCAAGAGGAGCCGAGCCGACGCGTTCAGTTGGATACCTGGGATGAGGACGGGCAACCCCTTAGGCTAAGTTTACATACGCATAAGATTCTGACTAAGGCGTTAGCGACTCCGCCCATTCTTAAAGACGATATAGACTACATAAGATCTCTGAAGATCCCCCTTCGAGTAGATCAAAATCACAGCCAAGTAAAACCGCTCATTTTGCTTGGCTGTGATCAAATCTGGTCACTGATTCGAGAAGGTCAGTCCCACATTCAGCTTCCATCGGGACTCCACCTGTTACCGACGCGTATAGGGCAGCTAGTTACAGGTCAGCTCCACGGTTCCAACCCAACCCCCCGCATCTCCAAAGTGCTCACCCTTTCGGAAAAATGGAAAGAGTGTTGGTCTTTAGACACTAGCGTTCATGTCGTAGCGGAGGATCTAGAGCCAACCGAAGAAGTCGAGTTGTGGACAAAGTACTGGGAGCTGGATAAAGCAGGTACTGAGGAGTTCGGGGAGTCAGAGGAAAAGGTTCAGCGGATGCTAGATCAGAAGGTATGCCTATTCTCTCTTGCAGCTTTTTTCACGAAATTCGGTTGTTTGCAGGGCTGTTCAAATGCCTGGTTGGCTGCCTCAGTGGCATTGTGGAGTCAGGGCGAAGACGAGCGGACGTCTTCTGGCATTTATAGCAGCAGTTCCGCAAACTGTTCGTGTATATGATAAGGAGCGTCCCATGGTGGAGATCAACTTCCTTTGTGTGCACAAAAAATTGAGGTGAGGTAATTAAATCATTACCCCCAGTGGGTTCATATTTTGGCTACTAATATGGAATAGAAGGATGAGTGAGCCCTTGTCGAAAAGAAATGAAGCGTTACTGAAGCAAAAAATCACTTCGAAGAGGCTGATGAGGGATTTGGGTAGTTGGCAGCTCGTCATTTCCGCCTCTCGTCGGGTCTGCCCACTTGCAAGCCGTGGAGATCGCTTGATTAGCTGCGTGGTCTTGCGCGATTGCGTGTGAACTGTAGCGCGTAGCGCATTTTAAGGAGTGCTGTTTGTTTTTTGATTGGTTTCAATTGCTTATTTCATTTATTTATCGTATTTCTCTGATTGTAATGATGCATATGGGATTACAGCCGTATTTCTGCTGGCGCGAGCGAGAAATGGGGGTGTTGCTCTGAGCTGCTTCAGTTTCAGTCTTTTATAGAAGATCTAGTAAAATCTTTCAGATCGAAAAGGGTAGCTCCAGTGCTTATACGGGAAATTACTAGACGTGTTAATCAACAGAAGATTTTTCAAGCGGTATACACGGCTGGAGTTGTGCTTCCTAAACCAGTAGGAGTATGTAGGTATGGATTGTGGTTATCAGTTTTTTTCTCTCCGGAAGTGTAGTATCTGTTTGATATGTAGGTATTGGCATCGTTCCCTAAACCCAAAGAAGCTCATCGATGTAAAGTTCTCCCATTTGTCGGCGAAAATGACAATGGCACGCACGATCAAGTTGTACAAACTTCCTGACGTAGGTTTTTCGGGCGCCATGGCGTTTCTGGACGTTTATTACCAGTACCAGGGTCTGTTTCGCTATTAGGGAACGCGACTTTTCTGCTTCTCACAGCTTTTTTCACTGCAGGAGTCCAAGGTCCACCAGTGGTCGTAGTGGACCCGCGGTTCCCGCGGCGAAAGAAGCTCTGCGCTGTAAAAAAGGAAAAGTCGCGTTCTGTCCCAGCGACCCACACTCTGAGTATCAGCCTCATGAATTAAAATTTAGGCTCCAGTAACGACCGCCCTACGGCCACTGGAGAAAAAGGATGTATCGTCGGCATGGAAGTTGTTGTCTGAATATCTGAAGCAGTTTTCACTAGCTCCCGTGTTTACGAAGAAAGAATTTGAACATGTATTCACTCCGATTGATGATGTAGTCTATACTTACGTAGTTGAGGTAAAATTACTCCATATTTTTTCGTGTTTTTTTACAGACTATCAAAACGGCCTTAATTGATGTGTTGATGTCACTTCCTATCTTCAATCCCCTGTTTCTTTTTTTTTCTGATGGCACGATTGATTTGTCCTCACGAGGAAACACTCGGGAGAAGCAAGACTATTTCCGTCTTCATTCTAATGCTTCTGTTGGTGATGCGTAAGCGTTGAGTTTTTTTTAAATGTTACCTCATTTTAGACAGGAGGAAAAGTGACAGATATGCTTTCGTTTTATTCTTTACCATCGTCAGTCATGCAGCATCCGGTACACAAAAGTATTCGAGCCGTGTATTCGTTCTACAATGTCGCCACAACAATTTCTTTCAAGCAGCTCATGAATGATGCTTTGATTATCGCTCACAAAGTTAGTTTTCGTTTCAGTACTGAATTGTTTTTATTTTTAATATCTCATTTTTTTTTTTTTTTTTTTTTTGATTAGTATCTATTGTTTTATCTTTGCAAAGAAGAGAAGTTCGGAGTTGCTGTGGCTTTTACAAACTGACTTTTAGGGCATACTCTGCACTGTCCTGTGCGCTAAAACTTCCCGAAAATCTAGCAAATTAGGCATGCAGAGTCGCTCGTTAATTTTATCTATTAGAACGTATTGCACTATAATGGAGGTGTTTCAGCTAGGCTTTGATGTGTTTAATGCATTGGATCTCATGCAAAATGCTTCAATTCTGGAAGAACTCAAATTCGGCATTGGTGATGGTAATCTGCAATACTATCTTTACAATTGGAGATGTCCAGATATGAAGCCAGAGCAGATTGGGCTTGTTTTACAGTAGACGATGGTAAGCCACCCACCCGGAAAACGTCGTATTTTTCTGACCTTTCCGGATTTTATCAAAAAATCGTGTGTTGCTTGATTATCTCTATCTTCTATACTCGTAACATAATTTGAAATGCTTGGCGTGGCTCCATCATGCACGTTTTTCTGTGGGGCTTGTGTTAAAGTTTATTACATTCGGAGGTGTTTCCCATGGTTTCGTAGCACTTGCGCTCGAAGATGAAGGTTGGTTAGAAAGAAAGTACTGCCAGTGAAGGAAAGGGAAGGGAAACGTTAACAACATCTAAAACAAGGGTCTATTCTAGTTCAATAGACGAGCTTCTCAAGGTAAAACTGATACTGCAAATGAGGGACCAAAAGAACGATCGTAGCGCAGAACCGGCACCCTGCGGCGATGGTCTGGAGTCCAAACTCGTAAGCTTCTGACGTCCTTACGACGCACTTCCGATCTGAGAACTGGCACTCTCTCGCTGCTGCGAACCACTCCACTTTCTTCTTTAATGGGATTGTACTGATTAGGGTGACTTGGATCTACCTTTGAGAGTGATGCCGAGGACACAGGAGAAAAGCCATGTTAAGTGATGAGCTTGTTAGCCGATATCGTCAGTGAACTGCGAGGCTGAAAGCTTTAGCAGATATTAATTTCGACTTGTTTTCGATTAACTGCTGTTTTTGACCGCGGCTGACATGCAAAAGTCGAAGCCACAAATAGTTTACTGCTGAGTTGTGGTTGTGTGAGGTAATATGAACTCTTCCTTTCCTTTCTTGTAGTGCACTTAGTGGACTTATTAAAGATGCGATTGTCTCTTCTTTACCTCAGACGAACCCAGCCTGTTAAATGATTTTTTGAGGCTTATAAGTGGAATCTCAAGTTGATATCAAAAGGTGTTGTAAATGAGCGATGTCTGGCATTGGACAGTCACTTTTTGGGATGCGCCGCTTGTTCTACTTCCATTCAGAAGCGTCGTGGTTGTCGAATGCGATTAGGCCCACTCATTGACTTGTCTTGCCACCTGATATACTTGTCAGTGTATTTATCTTTCCAGATGAGTGGTTTCAAGTGCGTGACTCTGAAGGATGTAAATCTTGGTTGGTTTGTAAGGCTGGTGTCAGAGTCCGCGATCCGTCGCAGGTTTCGCTGATTTTCGCGATTTGCGCGATTTGCGCGATTCACGCGATTCACGCGACGGGTCACGGAAATCACAAGTGCCCGATCAATACTGCAAGGTGTTCTCCAATCCCGCCGCCACTTCTGCTTGATAGTGATGGCTCATGATTCCACTTGTTTCATATTCAGTGTTTCAAATGTTCAAATGGGGCACTTGCAATTTTTGCGCGCAAATCG